TTGAAAAACTGAATGTTTTTATTGTACCTATTGGGAAGCTACTCTTATGCTTGAAACGGAACGGTTTTGATGAGTATATGACCCATTGCTAATCTATAGGTGCAAAACATGGATCCTAAGCCAGGAAGCTGTTTATAAACAGGCGATTACGCAACGCAGTATGGAAAGATGATGGTTAAAAACAACAAGAAAAAATAAGCAGACAAATGAATGGATAAGAGCACAAACAAGTGTCTACTATGCCAGAGATAAAGTGGAATTTGTAGGACACGTTACAAGAAGTACCGACCATCGCTGAAGCAAATGGGTATTAGACTGAGTTCCAAGAGTGAGTACATATCTCGTAGAAATGAATGAATAAAGAAGCTAGTTGGATAAAAAGGGCAGGAAATATCTGTGACGAAATCTTTAATGGGCCTTTATGCAGCAGTGAATCGACCAAGACCGATGATGATAAATATCTACGAAAATGTTAGAAAGTTAATATCTAACATCATAACTTACCAATATGGTGCATTTTGTGAATTTAATGTTTCAGTGTCTTTCTCATGTGAGTTTTTTGAGTATGGTGAATTTCTTTTTCTAGCGATAGGAGTATCGTTATTCTCATGTTTGATGTATTGTTTCGGCATGAAGTACCAGCGAACTAAGAAAATGTTCTATACACTGGGATCATTATTCCGTAGTTTGATCACCAGATCTCTATATCTACTTTGTTGGATAAAGATGATTCTGACTGCAACATTTGAATACTACATTTATTTTATTTTTGTGTTTATTATGTTTGTTCTAAAATGTAATATGGCACTTTTTTGTTTTATTAAAAACTCATGGACCTATTTTATGACATGTTGCTGCCTTGTCTCAGATTTTCCGTTGTCAGGAATCTCGATGTGATTTCCGTTCAGAATTTTGATGTTGGGCGCATTTAGATTTGTGCCGAAGCAAATTTTACGTGATTTCTTTTGACTACCGGTCAAAGAAGTTCCTGAGTGGTGTCGAGTACCTTCCCAAGGAAATGGCTCTCATAGAACTTTGCTTGGATTGTGGTATTACGGATTACCTATGCTGCACGTGTTCAGGTATGTGTATTGAAAAAAGCTAACGTATGATCGTCGGCGTCAAGGCAGGAATCATTGCGATGCGATTGCAGAGTAAACTTCGTAGAGTTTAGGGGCGTCCAGTTTCATCACCCCCGTGCACTATTTATCCAGCCGCATAGACTGCTACTACCGACATCACAGACCTCCGTTGCTCACTCCGGAAGGGAGCTACTTCGAACCGCACTTGGTACTTCCTGGCTTCCCTCCTTCGGTCGATGAAGCGCGGAACATTGTGAAACGTTTCCTCACGTCGAAGACATCGCGTGGCGGCGTTCGACGTCTCTACTGTCTCGCTAGCGAATTCACTGCCGTGCAGGGATGTCTGGCACATTTGAAAATTTTCTTAGGTATGTTCTGTTTTTTTGATTATTGTATGCTTAAAAAATAAGAATATGTGTAGCTGCAGTTGAACATATTTCGTATCAGAAGATTAAGGTAGCTTTTTTAATGGTTAGACACCGAATTCGCATTGAACAAAAGATCGATCGTGCGTTTTTTGCGTTTATGTCCTGACTGGGTTACTCGTGTTTTATTTACTTACCTCCCGCATATGTAAGTGTCACTCTGTGCAAGATTGAAACAGTGATTTGCCACGTATTTTCAGATACTGCCTTTATAGTTGATACAATCCTCACTCCTCAGCAGCGAATGGCAACTCTCAGAGAACTGTGGTGGAGAGGTTCTTCTTGGTGCTTACTAGCCTTCCTTCCTTTTTCTTAATCGAAGTTCAAGTTTATTAGCTTAATCGTCATCGACAGATGAGAACAAGAATTTAACTCCTCCAATAGTAAAATAGCAAAAGATGGGAGAAAAAACAGCATCGTTGTACAGGAGTCTTCTGACGAAGAAGTAGATGACTGATTTTTTCAGTCGCATTAAAGCTTCTTTTGATTACTGGCCGGTAAGTGTCTGGTTCTGGGGTATTGTTGGCAGACTAGGTGTGCTGCTCATTTTACTACAGCAGTTCTGTTATCTCGACAGTAGAAGTTCAGGGAGCCAACAGAGTGATGAAACAAGAGTATTGATCGGACTGTGCGAAGTAAAGCGGCAAAGATTTGACGTAACATGCGCCCACCGCTCTTTCGCGACATCTGTGCAAACGCTGTACCAGAACATCACCTGTGACTGTCATTTAAACAGTAACTATAATTTTTCTTAGCGGTCCCACATTTCGATCCATCGTCATCATACAGCAGGAGTGATTATATTACCTACGCAAAGTCAGCTATAACATGAATAATTTCAATTTAGTTTGCAAACATTGGATTAGTCCCAAGGATTAGATATGTCACATGAAGTCTCACATCAGCTGGATACTTGACTGCTGTTTGCAGAGATAAGAATGGTTTTCTTTATAATTTGCGTCATTTATTATGATGGTTGATAATGATTTTTCGCCGTTACTTTTAAAGTAACGGATAAAAACTATAAAACACGGTTTATTCACACACAGTTGGTCAGTCGAATGATTAATTATTCCGACATTTCGGCTCTTGCTCTTCTTCAAGGTAGATAGCGTTGATTTCCGACGTTCGTTCCGTGGTCCGCAGCTGATGTAACTTTTGGGATTTATAGGCGGGCTTGCGGTCCGTGCTGCTGGTTAAGTATTTTTTTGGCAACAGGCGCGACGAGGCTTATTTAATCTGAGCAAAGTTCATATTCGGTTTTGAAGAGTATGTCGATTAAGCCAAAGTATCCGGCTTTGGCTATTCGTGATTACTTTCTGGTATTTGCTAGTTCTGACTTTTAGAGATCTGTATGCAATTACAGTCATAAATGGTTGATAGATGTCATTCATAGCCTCCTTAATTAAGCAGCACTGAAATTTATTATACATTAATGATCGATTTACTCTCGATCGAAACGTTGAACAGGTTGGTAAATAAGGCATTTGCTTCTTTATGTCGTTAGCTGTAGTATCCCAAATGAGGGTGACCGTTCTAGCGTTGAAGCTGTTCTGTTATTCGAAACCACCCTAAGGCTGATGCGTACGGACCGGAGTGACTGCCTATTTTAAACAGTTTCGATTAAGCACACAAATGGCGGTATGCTTTAACGGTTTAGCCTCGTTCTCATGGATAGCTTTTTATCTGATTAATGAAGGAAATGTATGACCGTAGTATGATTTGCAGTTGTGTGGTTCATTTTCAGCGATTAATATCTTGACTAATCATAGGTTGATAGGAGAGTTTATTTCGAAAGTGTACATAATCTAACGAGCTGTTTTCGCTGCCATAGCTATGCTCATTGCAGATCCGTCCGGACTTTTGAAGTGTGAGACGGTGTGCTGCATTGAAGATCTTTATGTATTGTTGAGTGCTTGGCAATCGCGCCCGGTGAGCGAAGTGGACATGAAGCAATTTACCGAAAGCTGTAATGTCCAGATTCGAGCTTATCGTCCTGACCCTTCATTTGTGTGCCGCAGTCATGGTCTTCGTCGCATGCAGCAATGTCCACTACTGAAAGCACGTCTGATCACGTAAGTCCACTGCGTTGTTGTTTCAAACCGTTGACCATTTGTTATGCTATTTCTAGAGAAGAGTTCTTGCGACGGGTCTACGGTTCTGAAGGTGATTCCCTTCCAGTTGATGATCGATTACCGAAAGTACGGGAGCGTGCGTCTGCGTTTGACGCTTATGATAATCAGTTGCCATTCATCAGTAAGTCAAGTGGACTGCGTTCATTATTAACGAGGCCAACGCTAATTCGTCGCGTCGACCGAAAGACGATGTTCTCTGTAGTGACTCTTATGGCGCTACAAAGTAAAGTCTAAGATAGTTAAAGTACCTATGCGCGAAAGAACGTCAGTTTATATAAAATCAAATCAGAAAAGCTTGCTGTAAAAATTGGCGAATATAGTATATTAAACCAGCTTCGATTGACATTTCAACAGCCATTGATCCATTAGTGTAACGATGCACATCTAATGCACAGGAACAAACAAAATACATAATAATGAGATTTGGAATAAAGAATGATTATGAGAAGGCAGATTGGTAGAGTATGAATTGACCTTAAAGGATCGAATCGAGCAGATTCCATCTTTTCCGCTCCTTTTTCTGCAAAGATCAAAATCCAGTGCCTCTCAAGTTGAAAAACTGTTCGTAAGGTGAAAATTCACAAATTTAAAGTGATAGCCCCATTAGCTTCAATGCAAAAATTGGTCGCATCCCACCTTCTCAGAGAGCTGCCAATTATTTCTCCCACTCAGTTTAGGATGCTGTATAATAAAATACGCACTGTTTTACGTTGTGGTGATAGTTATATAAATTTCTTTGTTTGCAGTAGTTGAAGTGTTAAATTAAACGCGTTAACTGACAGCAGTTTTTGTACGTGCAGTATACACATATGAAGTTACGTAAACTATGACTGAAGAATTTTATTTATTAAAAGTATGATTATTGTAGGTTAAAGTTCAAATTTCAATGATCGCCTCTCCTTTTGGGTCGCGGAGGCAGACACGTCAGAGTCTTCTTCCAACATTCTCGATCCTTTGCCAGCGTTTCAGCTTCTGTAGAACATAATCGTAGTCTAGAGCAGAAATCTTCATTACACTTGCCCCAGGTTAATTTTGGCCGTCCCTGGGGATTTTTGTCAGTCAGTTGCACATGTAGTAGTTGCTTCGCCTTCCTTTCTGGAGTCATTCGCAAATCAGACGTGCATAAACCATAGCAGCTGTGACTTCTCAGTCTGAACAAGCTGCGGCTGCAGGCAGACCCAGGCTCTCTCGTTTTTCTGTACTCTAAATCTCCAGATGTCGAGATTCGTGAGGCCAGCGATTCGTCTCGGAACGCCCATTTCAACCGTTTGTACCAGAGGTCGAAGTTTTTCATTCATGGCACACCATTCATGACCGTAGGTGAGCATGGGGATGAAGATCGACTTGAGTACCGAGAGTTTAGTCTTCAGACCCAGCTCTGCTTTAGTCACGACGGCTCAGGCTAGTTCACAGAGAACGCCACTGGTTATTCTAATCAGCCCGTCCATCTCTTCCAAAAATTTCATGTCACCAGTGAACATGACCGAGAGGTACTTGAACTTCTCCATCTGCATCTCCGTTAAGCTGATGAGAGCAATGGGCAGGTGAACGAAGAAGCACTAGACTTTTCGTTTTAGGTACGTTCATATGCATGCCGACGACGTCGCATTCGGTTTTTTCAAAGGGTGCTGGAGATCAGTTTCAGAAAATGCTATCAAAACAAGGTCGTCAGCAAATAGCAATCTTCTCGTCTCGACATCCCTAAGCTGATACACTCATCGCCGTGACTGCGCCTGACTATTCTATCCATATACAGCACACACGAGAAAGGGGACAAAATGCAATCTTGGCAGAGACCAGTACGAGTACTGAAGGTTTCCGACTTAACGCTATTTACTCTGACCTCGTCATTAGAACTAAGATTATTGTACGTTTTATAATCATTTTGATTTTAGAGTAATTGGCGTTAGATTCATTGCCTTATTCAATAAAGTGAAACTACGAAGGCTCGAAATCAAGTTGACGTTGATATGTAAAACGTACTGAGGTAGTGGTTGTGACTGGTTACGAATCTTAAGGGTATAAAATCGGTATCTTTCAGGCGACCGTTCAGAATTTATTATGGGTTTTCATGCGTAAGGAGAATACTCTGCACCATACTTGAACTTTACCTTAGCTACGATGAGAGTTTGGCTGAATTGTAGAGAGAGTAAGCGTAAGACTTCTACGTCTGTCCATAATTAGTCAGAAACTTCCATGAAGCTTCAGTTGTCAGGCGGATTAAAGTGCTTTGCAGCTGTCTGAAACGCAAGCGCATGAATATTACAGCATTAGCATTCGGCACCTCAAAGCTGGAACTGATTGAAGCCATCGAATTGTTGCCTGTCTTGACTCGATTGACCAAGCGGAGTTGGATAATTCGCTTACTCGGGGCCATCTCTGCAGTGAGTACGAAAGGCTTGCGCGCCATCTAGGTCAAACGATTATAATTGGTAGAATAGAAAGTCTGCATTTCTGGGAGAGCCTTGTTTTCATTTAGTTAAGCGTAGAGCTCTGAAATCCATTCTATTTCATCAGCCAGGGGTGCCTTTTTTAAAGACAAAATCAACAGCAGATATGTTACAAGCATTCTTCTGTTTTCGTCCCATACATTTGTCATTGTTTTACTCATGTATCGACCTCGGAAAGAAAAATGGTAGAGTGAATCCGACCGGAACTTCTCGGTTTTTTGAACCTGAGGCTCTACCGACCGAGTAACCCCGGTTTGAAGTAACGTGGGATAAATTGCTTGCTCAAGGGCATTCGTGGCAAAGAGAGATTGCTCGCCGAGGAAATCGAAATCGACATCTTTGAAGATAGAGTTCGAAGCTGAACTTTTACGCAGTGTTACCACGCCAAAGTTGATTTCGCGATGTTCAGAAGCCAGTGGTTTCTTCCATCTTCAGTATAACATAACCCTTGCGCGTTTGAATTGTTATAGAGGATAAATACTTAACAATGTCTATCTCCTGCATGCAGCATAAACTTATCTCGTTTTATTGAATGAACCGTATTACAGCATGTGACAGAATAATCGGTCTCGCAAGGCTGAAATTCGAGTGTTCCCATTGGCTGTGCTTAAAGGGAGTGAGCTTTAGCGATGTCAGGATGAATGTTACATTTTTCGACCGTCATAAATATCAGCGGGATTTATAGAATAGGACTTGCCTACTCCTGATTGTTGATTATTTTCTTGTTATAAATGGAAACTGTTCGTTTCATGGAAAGCAAAAGAGCTTAAGTTAATCGAATTGTTATTTTTCTTCATCGCTTATCTTTCATCTTTACGGTAATTGCATCATTTAGATCATGGACAGTCGGAGCAATTGTTTTCAGCGCATTGATCGTTCCGTTTCTTTTAGCCGACGTTGTATGCTTTGCTTTTGCGAACCTTATGGATGAAGCAGAACAGAGGTGCCATGTACAGTTGTTATGCTGTTGCGCTTTGTTTTTTTTACTGTGCACTGTTAGTTTTCCGTTGAAAACTACATTTTGTGTTCTATCGGATGCATGTTTTTTCTTGATTTAATTGCGTTTTACTATTTGTCATAAATAATTGTACCTTAGAACATGAATATGATTATTTTAGATAAATTATAAAATAGACAGACTTTTAGATAAAAGTTCTGCTTCAACTTTTAGCCCTGCACTAATTTTAATAGGTTGAAAAAAGACTAGATCAGTAGTCTTTACGTTCAAAACTCAGCCGTTTGGGATATATTATTTTTTGTTTCCAGTTTATGTTCAAAGGCTCTCAGGCAGTTTATCTTAGCGGTATAGAGAAGCCTGTTTAACCCCTTTTATCATTTAGGGGCTTCAAATCGTTACTCTGGTTACTCATTGTCTAAAATGAAAGCGTTGAGACTGGATTTGCACATAGTTCAACGGGTATCCTCGCTGTAACCCATCGAGGCTTTATATCAAACAGTTAACCGACGAAGCTCAGATCTCACTCTCTCAATGGAGCACTGGCTCTCTTCCCGTTTTCTATTCAACAAAAATACCTAATCTATGTAGAAATTTTTGTGATGTAATGTCAATTCCAGCTGAGTTAGCAGATGTTCCAGTTAGCAAAATTCCCAAACTTATCGACCAGCTGATGCATTGAGATTGCTGGTCTGCAGTATTTATAACAGAGTATACATAGCTGAGATCCATAATCTAGACTGATTATGTTAGTACCTTGGGACATCTGACAATGATAATTATCATAATCTATTTATAAGCGATTCTTGGTTTTGCTCTTTTATCCGGGCAAAGTCAGCTACAAGTAGAATTATTTACCAATTACTGTACCGAATACGTGTATAGATGTTTGTATCGAAGCGTATAAACAGAACAGGCTCCTACAGCATCTATGAAGAGGCACGGAAAGATGTGGCCACCTAAGCAACAAAACATGCGATGCACCTAGCTCTGCAGATGACCAAATCGCTACTTAGCCACCCCTGCCTAAACATCTCCTTGCGCGATTAAATCTCGATTCATATGGCAAGTATACTTCGCTATTAACCCATCAGCTGTGAGGAGTTAAGTATCTGGTCGAGAAAGTTTACCGGTAGGATCGAATTAATGCTTGCGTCGATACATGTTATAAGAAATTATTTGTTAGATGGGACTTCAGTCAAGAAGTGCGAGTCGATACAACATTTATGTTAATAAAGAACTTTTGTGAATTTCAGCGTAAGGTCGAGAGAAGGCTCAGATGGAGGTAAACTTAGTGTTAAAACAGAGGCGTGGATCGAACATGGATAGGTTATGATGCGTTGAGTCGAAACAGATATAAAGTGTTATTCAATTTACGGTATGGATAAAGCAGAAGTCGATTAAATTCTAGGATATCCATTAGACAAACTTCAAGCTTTGTCGTTTTTTGCCCTCTAGCGAGGCTGTATTTGTGTAGGAGCGAAATTTTAATAGCGGGCTAACATTTCAGTAAACCAATAACGCCATTTTCAACATCATATGGAATACGAAAACAGGACCAGTGCAAACTCATAGCGCTTGAAACACTACTGAAACAGTGATTTCGAATACATCAGCGATAAAACCCTTAAGGCCTCATGATGAATAATACAGTCGCTGTCCGATCCTTTTGATTTTTTACGGGCTTCTATTTCTGACAGCATTTACCGCCACGTTACATTACTCTTTATCTTAATTACTGACACTGAACCTACAAGGATATCGGTATAAACGAAATGCTTTTTAGCTATTCAGATGGTGCATGTATTTAATCGAATGTATCACGTTAAAATAACAAGCTTTGAACCTGCTGAAACAAGAGTGTAGATTTCCATGGCAGTGCTCACCTGCCCTCCAATGATGTAAGACACCTATTACTTTAGCAGCTGGATCGCTTTTAATGAACTACTGAACTTCGAAACAACTATAAATAAAAATCTACTAATAGAAGAGCCTTCTGGCTCAATGATTATAGCGATATGAAAAACTGAAGATCAATAGGCCAATAAGAAACAACGTCTCGGTCATCAGGTATACTTTTCATCATCTAGAGGCGAACCCGCATGCATTTACGATAACTCATTAAAATGCTCAACGAATTTCAGTTATTCTACATCAGTGTTTCTCAACCTTTATTGTTCAATTCCCCGTTTCACCACAGTTCGCAGACTATCATTCTCCCTTTCCCAAGATAGTCCAACTCAAAAGATGCATTTCAAACAGATTTGAAAATATTTTATTTTGTTTGTACTGAAAATCGTACATGATTTCTTTATGCTGGAGGTGATATAATCTTTAGGTAAGTCACAAACGGGAAGACAATGCATAAAATAGCCTTTAAATAAGGACATTTGACGTATCGGACCAAGCTCGGTCTTCAGAGTACAATTTTGTCTGTATTAGTACATATACATTTATTTTGATTTTTACGGTAGAGTATTACAAATTAAATGCTAATAGATTTTACAACTTTATTAATTTACAGTTTTTATATTAA